TCAATATAGATTTCGATCTTCTCGTTCTACGGCTGATTTGCTAACAGTAATAACCGATAGGTTTTATCGCGCATTAGATAAAGGTGGAGAGGTTAAGGCCATTGCACTTGACATTTCTAAGGCGTTTGATAAAGTTTGGCATGCTGGTCTTCTCCATAACCTTTCTTCTTACAGTGTATCTGGAAACATCTTTAAGATTATCGAATCCTTCCTTTCCAATCCTAGTATTAAAATTGTCCTTGATGGACAGCACTCTTCTTCTTAATTCTGTAACCTCAGGGGTCACTCAAGGTTTAACCCTTGGTCCTTTACTCTTTTTAATTTACATTAACAATCTTCCAGATATTCTCATACCTAAGGTGGCATTGTTCGCTAATGATACTACCATTTATTCTTGTCACGATAAAAAGCCAACTCCCTCTGATTGCTTGCAGGGGGCATCTGAGCTTGAAAAGGATCTCACTTCTGCTACAGCATGGGGCTCACAGTGGCTGGTGAACTTTAATTCAGATAAAACTCAATTTTTTTCAGCCAATCGTTATCGCAATAATTTAGACCTTCCTATATTTATGTACTCGATGAGTCTCCTACCTTCATCTTCTAGGATTAACTCTTACTTCTGCTCTTTCTTGGAAACCTTATATCAAATCCGTTGCAAAATTAGCATCTGCTAATGTTGCATCTCTTTATCGAGCTCGTCACTTTCTTACTTTCTTACTCTATTCTCTATAAATCTCAAATCCGGCCTTGTATGGAATACTGTTGCCATATCTAGGGTGGATCTTCTAATGATGCCCTTTCTCTTTTAGACATGGTGCAAAAACGCATTGTAAACATAGTTGGACCTACTCTTGCAGCCAACCTTCAACCTTTGTCACATCGTTGTAATGTTGCTTCTCTTTCTCTTTTCTACAAATACTATAATGGGCACTGCTCTAATGAGCTAGCGCCTCTTGTGCCATCTACAAAAATTCATTCTCGTGTTACTTGTCATTCAATTAAGTCTCATCCTTTTTCTGTGACTGTTCCTAAATGCTCTAAAAACTCTTAATCATCTAGTTTTTTTCCTCAAACATCAGTTCTTTGGAATTTGCTTCCTTCATCTTGCTTTCCTGATTCATATAATTTGCAATTTTTAAAGTCGTCTGTCAATCGTTATCTTGCTCTACAATCTTCATCTTTTCTCTTCCAGTAACTTCCAACACTAATTAGTGGTTGCTTGCAGCCTTGTTGGAAGCGAAGATGTTAAAAAAAATAAAAAATAAAAATAAAAATAAAAAATATATATAAATATATATATCAGGCCTTGTTTTAAAGCGTTACGCCTACAGCGATTTACGTACACCTTAAGCGAATTTTACGTACGCGTAGAGCTGTTTTGGTTAAGCTACTTTTTATCATTTTTTAACTTTTAAATTAGCGGTAACATAAAATAAGTAATTAATTTTTAAAAAAACCACATTAACTTTTGAATAACGATATGTAAAAATATTTATTACAAAAAAGCAGCTATGTTAAAAATAAATGTAGTAACTTTTCATCGCGATATATCTTACCTTTTTATAACAATTAATTTTACGCCAAACTTTTTAATCAAATATTTAGAAACATGAACAATTGTTCGTCAATCTTTAACTACAAATTTTTTGCAAATGTTTTAAAAAGTAGTAATTTTTTAAAGTTTTCAGTAAAAAGCTTTTAAAATATTTTAGTTAAATGACAGTCTCTATTTTTTACTAATGACTATGTATTTTTCTCTATAAAATAAGACAAACTAGTATATAAAAACCTAATATATTTCTATTTTCTCCAAATTATTTAAAGTTCGAATATGGATTGTCTTTTGAAGGACAAAAGATTTACTTTAAAAACTTTTAAATCCTGCGACTTTGCTGATGCTTTTCTAATTGAAACTATCACAGAAAAAGAGAAGACATATGTTATTAAAATCAAATGTAAGTTATGTGATCTTCATCAAAATAAAATATTATCCAAAACCAATGGTGCCGTAAGGGCAGCTGCCCTATGGTTTATAAATGACACAAGTCATGTTAAAATATTTTAACATTTTAACTATATTTTATTTAAGTTGGTATACAAATAAAAATATAGTTTAATAAATAACTTAAATTTGTTATTATCAAAGATTACCTCATATTTATTCTTTTTTTATTTCATTATTCTAAGCTAAATTGCTTACAAACAAAACAAAAAAAAAGAGTTGTAATTATACGTAGAATGAAATACTTTTGAGTTTGTTTATAAGTTTAAGGAACTTTAATTTTAATGAACAAATTTTAACGAACGTTAAATATATATGTTATAAACAGATACGATTCAAGTTATTAAATAAACTTATATTATTTTAGTTGAGTATTTTTTTAAGTTTGCACGATTAAAGTTTTGCATAGAAGTATTTGTTTTTTGTTTTAAGAATAATTAACAAAAGAGTTTGCATTATTAAGAGGCTTTATATTTAATTTAATTTTTTTTTTAAATTCCTTAGGTTTAAAAAAAAAAGATTTAATCGTTAAAAACGATTTTTCTGTTTGTTTGTGATTTGTTTAAAATGTAAAATATTTTTACGATAACATAAAAAATTTATGAATTAAATTCCTGGCGAACGCGTTCTAAACTTCATTTCAAAAATATATATCAAAGCAGACATGAAACTTTTTTAAATTTTTCTATAACGCAAGTTAAAACGCAAAATTGGTGTTTAAATAAATTAACAAGGGTTTTTGTTTATCAATGTTAATATTTTTTGTTTAATCCAGAAATTTTTAAAAATAAAAAAAATCATTATTTTTTATTCAATAACGATTTATAAACAATAATTATTCAAAAACAAATTTCAGAAATAATTAATATATATATATATATATATATATATATACATATTTATATTTATATTATTTTACTAAATAATAATGAACTAAAATTAATATTAAAATAATAATTGAAAACATAACAAACTTTTCATAATAAATTTATATTTAAAATGTTTGTAGTTAATTAAGTTAATTGCTAAATTGAACTAGTTAGCGGTTATCTACACTTAACATCTATAAAAAAATAAAGATAATTTTACGACGTCAAATATCGTGTTAAGCTAATACATTTAGCACTTTTATAATTAAAACAAGGCCTGATATATATATATATATATATATATATATATATATATATATATATATATATATATATATATATATATATATATGTATATATATATATATATATATATATATATATATATATATATATATATATATATATATAAATATATATAAATGCATATATTTAGGTTACCACTATTTAGGACACCATCATTTAGGTTAGCAGTTTGGTAAAAAATAAGCATATACATTAAAAAACAAAATTGTTTATGTATATATAATATATGATATTTTTAATAGCCTAAGTATATGCTTTTAAGCATATATTTAGGTTATCATTATTTAGGTTGTTATTATTTAGGTTGTTATTATTTGGGTTAGCAAAATAAGAACATGCATTTCAAAACAAAATTGTTAATGTATGGTAAAATTTCGTAGGCATATAATACTAAATTCATTTAATAATTATTTTAAAAATGTATTTCTATAGTTCTAAAAACTAAATTTTTTGTTATACATTACTTAAATTGTTTATAATTAAGGCTGTTTTTTTTTATGTAAATTATAATTAAAAAAAAAAGTTATTCAAATTAAAAGATAAGAAATCAATTTCAATAGCATGCTGCTGTAATTTATCTAATCATAATAAGTAGCAGTGCACATCAGAACTATACTGCACTGTTTATTTCAAATTTTACTGTTAGTTATGTAAAACATAAATGACAGAAGAGTACTATATAGCGAGTACTGCCAGTGTAAATTTTGATTATAAAGTATTATAAGTTTTAACAATCTTTTAACTTAAAGATTTCAAATCTTAAAATATAGAATTAAAATCTTTTAGTGAGTTTAATTTAACTTATCATACTGATTGGCTTGACACTAGTGCCACTCTTTCTCAATCTTTTACTAAGAAAATCAACTTTGTGACTTCTCTGAAGACAGCCCAAATCACTTTTCTTTAATCCTTGATTTGTTCCTCCTCTTGCACTTAGGCTTGTGTTCAGTTTTTCTACATTCTGATTTAGGTTGCTCAAATCATGCTATCTAACTTTTATTTGATCATCTAAATCTTTGTAATCTCAAGACTGGAGTTTCTTTTGCTATTTTCTTCGCTATATCTTTTATCTCTTGGCGTAATGTGTAGTTTTTAACCATTCATGCAAAGCATAACCTTCTTATCACTTATTCTATTTTTTAAGACTTTTCTTTTAACAGCCTCAAATATTTCTTCTTTTTTTTTTAACCAGTAAAAAATTTTTTTAGCAACACCGGATTTCTTTGCTGTAGTTACACACCTTTAACCTCCATCAATTACTTTTAGTCCTTTGTATTTATCTATTAGAGTTATAGTAGCAAACTATAACTCTGGTAAATGTCAATATTGTTGACATCGTTTGAATGTCAACAACTGATTTATAGTTTCACTAATTAAAAGATTATTTGACTAAGTAAAGAGAGACTTGTGTCTTGACTCAGAGTCTTATATTAATTTGCCAGAACTTTCACTTAGATGTCTACACCTGTCATCAAAAAAATGTCTGAGGAATAAAGAATTAAAAGTAGTTTTATATTATTTTATTAAATTTGCAAACATATTTTTTTATTCTGTTAAACTTTTAAACTTTTTTGCTTGAAATTAAACTGGGCCTGAGCACCATGTAAGTAAGTTAGTTAATGTAAACTAAAGTTTTTTTGTGAATGTTTTCAAAGAGCACAATGTTTAACTTTTTTTTATCTAAACCATTTAACTTGTTTAACAAAACACTTCAATTCATAAAAAACAATAAACAAAAAATGATTTTATTATATAAAAGGTGCTCAAATATTTTTCATATAAAAACAAAAAAACTAAAATACTATAGACTACATTAAACTTACACTGAATAGTGGCTACAAATTTAGGATAATCTTTATATTCAATCCCAGATGATTTAAGAGCTGTATATATGAAAAAAAATAAGTTTAACATTTTAAATTTCATCATAAGATAACCCATTTATTATCATAAGATATGACAGAGAAAAGTGGGTAAAATAAGGGAGATTTCAATAACAAAAGCATTGCTAATACATCTATAAAATACACTGGGCAACAACAAAAAAAATTTTTTTTGTATCTTTAGCAATTTTATTTAAATTATACTCATTTTGGGTTTAAGTTAGAAAAAAGAAAATGACAATTTTATATGACAATTTTTATATTTACATATATAACAAAATTTACATATATAAAGTACATTTGTTTTTGTTTTTTTATCACAGACATATTCTCACAGTTTTAAATAAAGAAATCGTGATCATCAAGCTAATAGCTATATAGATGATTATGGGGTATCGTAACGAGATCATGATCTTTTTGCTTTCTTTTTAAAGACTAGTTCTGAAGCATCCCTACACACAAACCAACAGTGATTTTTCCAATGACCCTGATATTTTAGTTCTATTACAGAAATAACTTGGTGAAACCTTTCCCAATGTTCATCACTAAAAGATCCACAATTGGAAGAGGGGGTAAGAAGTCTAGGTGTGAGTGGAGGAAATGAATCTTGAGGGACATATTACATCTAAGTTGATGGTATTTTTGCAGAAGTACTGTTACCTATTCAATGCAGTTAGCATCTCTTTTGTTGCCTAAAAATCAACAAATCAATTTTTTAAGAGCTTCCCAAGTTTCCTTTCTTATCTTTCAAAACTTTGTCAAATGCAGGATCCTTCATAAGTTGACCTATATGGCCCAACAAAAATATTCTCTTTAACTTTTGCATCACTTATTTTTGGAAATTTGTTTCTTAAATACCTAAAAGCCTGCCATTCTTTGTTCATACCTTTGACAAAATTTTTTATTAAACCCAACTTAGTATGTAATGGTGAAAGAAGAATCTTTTGGATCCATGAGTGGTTCAGCAATAACATTTGTTTCATCATGGAAAGTTGCAGCAGCAATCCTCTACCACATATGATGATTTTTATAGTTATTTTTCTTTTTCAAAATTTAAAATAGAAAACTGGATGAATTATTTTCATATATAATTTTTAATTTTATTTGTTACTTATAAATACTTATAATTATAATGTATATTATTGATAAATTAAACAGAAAAAGATTTCTACTTTTCATACATTTAATGTTAATAATTTCATTTATTTTTAACAGTGTCTTTTTTTGTCAAAATAATCACTTTTATTAAAATTGAAGTAGAAGTCTAAATAATTAAAATGAAAAAAAAAAATGATTATGATTTTCAGAATCAGCATGAAAAACTAATTAAGAAAAATTGGTTAAACTATAAAAAAAAAGGTTATGGAACCCCCCCCCCTCCCTACTGTCATTCTTTGTTCATACCTTTGACAAAAATTTTCATCAAACCCAACTTAGTACGTAATGGTGCAAGAATCATCTTTTGGAATCTTTTTCAAATTAAGAAAATACATTAATCCAAAGACATTAATGCAAACAACAAAATTATTTTTCTTCTCAAAAAAAGAAAGCAGACTCTGCTGCCATTTTCTGTAATGTGAAACCTTGACATAAAATTAGAAAAGATTCCACTGCTTTAGTCTTGACCCTAGAAATTCTTTTTTTTTCTGTGACAAGCCCAGATCTCAAACAAGATCACCTAATTCTGTTTGATTCAATCTGTGTGGCACATTATCTGTTGACACAAAATCAGGATCATTTGATGTGGAAGGCTTGTTTTCTTTTTTTTCTTCTATTTCTACTTCATTTCTGCCTTCATTTTCTGCATCTAACTCACAACTTTGTGGTTAATCTGAATGTGGAATAGGTTAAATGGCAGATGGAAGATTCAGATATTTAACTGTTCCTATATAGTCATAGTTCTTTTCTGTGAAGAAAATGCTTCACCACAACAAAAATTGTCCACTAAACTTACACACTTCCTTTGTTGATTTGTCAAACTTTACACTGGTAAATGAAAAAAAAAAAAAAAGAATAGATTAGATCAGAAACTTTAGCAAAAGCACATAACTAATATCACAAGTTTAAAAAAATGAATAAAGCATTATGGATAGTCAAAAACAAAAAAACTAAAGTTTTTTTGAAAAAATGAAAATTTATACCCTTGAGAGAAAATATTCCCTTTTACTTCTTAAATTAGAGCTAATATGTCATTTTAAATGTCATTTTTGAATTCAGCAGGTGGAAATACATAAGAAATAAATAATTTTGGTTCTTTCAGGTTTTCTGGTTCTGAAACAAAATCACTGTTAGGCAGTGTTATTGTAAATATTTAAAAAGCTATTTTGACAAAAATAGTTTCACAACATGTTTTATATTATACATATTATTAGGTTATATATATATCTTTTATTTAGTATTCAAATCTATGGTGCTCTGTGATTCAAAAACACCTAAACAGGGTTTGAATTGCCTCATGGTATCAAAATTGTTTATAAAAGTATTGCATGGAGTTCTGAAGAATGTCCAATTTTTTTTTTCTTCAGGCTTTATTTTTAAGTTTTTCACACTCTGAATTTTATAAATAATTTTTAAAACATTACCATCAAAACAAACTTAAAACTCTTTTTTATAAAAATGTTTTAACTCTTTCAATTTTAAAACTTTTTAAAGAAAATAATTTAGACATTAAATCTAAACTAAAGCTTAATTAAAGAAAGTTAGAATTAAAGAATTGTTTCAATCGAACAATTAGGTACCAGTACCAGAATATAAATAACTAAAATTATTTTTTTTGATAAGAGGACTAGGTACTAGTATTAGAACCTAATTATTTATCTAATTAAAATCTGCTAAAATTCTATTCAAAAGTATTTTAGATAAAAAATAAACTAAATAGTTAATATTTTAATACTATTATTCTATTTAAAAGCTTGAACATATTTTCAAAAATATTTTATTTGAACTTAAAATTAATAACAAAGAGATTGTTATTTATTTGAACTTCTACGACTAAAAGATATGTAAATGATACAAAAGTGATTACACTCTGGTAAGAAAATATGAGAACATTGACATGACAACAATGATTCAAACAAAAAATAGCGCAGAGATTTTCCTAGACTAACAATTTATTAAGGTTTTAAAAAAGTAGTTTATAATTCTTGAGCATGTTGTGAATTTAGTTTGATCAAAAAGAATTTATTATAAAAATTCAGGTGTTCAACCTAAAACAAAATCTTAATTTAAAATATTCAAATTAACAAACCACAAATATTAAAGATAAAAAAACAAACCACAAATATTGAAGATAAAAAAACTTTTTACAATTTCAAAGATACTAAAGATCTTTTAAACACGAAGTTTTGACCTAATTTTAAAAGGATCTTCAATACAACATAAACCAAATTTTTCCAGTGTGTTCAAATAAATGTATTTTAAAAACTTTCCCTTTGCCCTAATATCTCATACAAAAAATATCTATATATATTTAAAGAAACTTTTTATTTACTATATTTAACTGAATATCTTTAGGAATTTGTAGTTCTCTAACAATCTTAACAAAAAAAAATTTTTTTAAATAAAAAAAAAAATGCAAAAAACAAATTTGATTTAAAAATACTTGCAACTTTATTAGCATTACTTCTAATCTCTGTACTATTTTTCAGTTTACTAAAATAATGATTTAATTCTTTTTCCACCAATCCATCAACGGCTCCATTTTGTTTAGAGTTATTCAAATTCTTTTCAAAAATGTGTACCTTTGTAAACAAACAAGAAACCTGTGTTTTAACAAGTACACACAAATAACATCTTATATAGAACAGTAAACTATTTATCAAATAACAATATTATTTTATTATAATTATTACCATGATTATGACACAAATAAACAATTTTAATATTTTGATTTACTTAATGATGAATAAAAAATAATAAAATAAACCAAATTAAAGTTTGGTAACGTAAGTAAACAAAAAAACTTAATTTAATAAATTAAACACAGTTCATAAGTGATTATTACATTTGTTTAAATATAAAAATATGGAAAAAATTTACAAACCATATTAACAGCTTAAATGTTTAAATTAAGGTTGCAACTTTTTTATGTATTAAAAATGTAAGAACTATTGCTTACAAATTTTTATTTTTCTTCTATATAGTTTTTATACTTCAACAATGCATTACAAAAACCTTTGTCATTTTGTTATTAATTTTTACTTGGTGAGTTTTTAATTTGTTAGACATCATAAAATCCTTAATAATGCAATAAATGGCAAGTGAATTTTCTTTTATTCGTGTTATAACTGAAAATGTTAAACTGAACTGATGCAACCAGTTGCTTCTAAAAAAGAAGATAATTTCAAACTCCACTCAAACATTTTTACAAAGATACCATTAATAGTAAGGTAATAATCTTTATAAACCACTTTTTTATGCAACAATCTTCATAAGCCTCATTTTCATACAACAATTTTTTTAAATCTCTTTTTCACGCAACAAACCTTTTTTATAAACTTCTTGATCACATACTGATATAACACTTCCCTTCTTCTCAATCATACAACTTATGATCTGCAGCAAATAATATAAAAACTCAGCTTTTTAGTGAACTGTCTTATACTGATGCAATTGATTGCAACTTCCATTGATGGCATCTTGCCTAATTATTAAACCCATTAAGGGATTGGTCACAATAATTACACAACTGCTGATATTTGACAAGTTAAATTGAACTCAGCATATTTTGCATTTGACTGACTTTTTACCCATGCCTATTATTAGCCTTTTTAAAAAAAAATGGATCATATATAAATTTATATATATATATATATATATATATATATATATATATATATATATATATATATATATATATATATATATATATATTTATACACTCAATCTTTCCTCTGGATTTTTCCTTAATGCATCTAAACATCTTCAATTTTCCTGATTTATTATCAATCTTGAGTATCAATCCTGTGGTAGAACAAACTGTTTTAGCAGTTCTTTTATTACTAAATGTTTTCTTTACATTATCTAAAGAAGAATATATTTAACAACTATGTATAAGGATATTATCTAGTTATTTGTTATTATTTTCTTGATTGCAACATAATTCTCAATCAATAAGTATTATTTTAAGTACTTAAATCACTCATTATTTAATTCTTATACCAATAACTAATGGTTTATATAAAAGGTAATAGTAAAAAATGGTTTATTGTTGAAGTTAAAAAATATATAAACAAACACTTAATTTTATAGGTGAAAAAAATACTTTTTTTTTTAGATCAATAACAACTTTTTAGATAAGACATTTAATCAAAGAACTGAAACAACTTATAGTATGAATTTATAGTAATACTTAGTTTGTAATATTTAGCATTTTATTAAATTACAATTTTAAGCTTATTATTATATTAAACTTAAGAATTCTAAATATATATAAAAGAAGAAAAAATATTATTACCAGTTAAATTAAAATTATTTAAATACAAAAGCATCAATATAAAAAATTACCTTTTTTATACTTTCTCCTAATTTCTTATTTGGAAACTTTTCCTGTTGCTCATCGTTCAGCTCAAACAATTCTGTCAAAAAACTGGTAAAAGCTAAAACACAATTGTTATTTTTATATTTATTTTGTATATAAAATAAACAGATGTGATTTTCAAAGAAAATAAATCCTTTCTGCACACCCAAAAGTTTTTTTTAAAAAAAAAAACTATAATTATATCAATTTAAACAATTAATTATATGTAAAGAAATATTTTAATTGAGCAGAATATATTAGTATTGAAATCGCTATATATATATATATATATATATATATATATATATATATATATATATATATATATATATATATATATATATATATATATATATATATATATATATATATATATATATATATATATATATATATATATGTACAGGGTCTATTCTAGGAAAAAAATTGGGCAGTGGTACCCCCTCATTCTTGCAAACTTTAGCAAAAACAGTGGTTTTTTCGTGAAAATAACAATATTTGCTGTAAATATATATATATATATATATATATATATATATATATATATATATATATATATATATATATATATATATATATATATACACACACACATATATATATATATATATATATATATATATATATATATATTTACATTACAAAAAAAAAAAATATATATATATATATATATATATATATATATAATGTAAAAAAAAATAAAGGTCCACAAATTTTTATTTGGGTGGCGCCCAAATTTAGTTGATGTTGTCGAAAAGAGTCTAGAATAGCCCTTTTATATAAAACTTCTAAGTAGACTATTAGGTAAAAATGACTATACATTTTATAATATTTTTCCACTACATTCACTATTTCACCCCTCCCAAATAATTTGTCTTATTTGATTATCATTTTCAAATTTATATTACAACTTATATACAAAGTTACAAAGGTAATTTGACTTGTCATCACAATGCACAAGTTAATTATGTAACAAAGAACATTATTATGTAATAAACAATCAATATAAACATTGAATCTTTTAAATGAATTTAGCTAAAAAACTAGGTTTAAATCAAATAAATCAAATTTAAAATAATTTTGCTACGTAGTTATTTAATTATGTTACTTATGCTATTGTACAATGAAATAATTCAGCTTTTTCTTGAGCTGATAGTTCATATCATTTACCAGTTATTGATTAAATTTTTAAAGATGAAATTTTGCATAAAATGTGTGTTATTGGAACCCAGCAAATATCTTCTGTATGTGGCCAAGTAAAAGTGTTTAAAGACATAGACTGCTTCATGAACTTCATAAGAACATCTTGATTTTCTTCGGATATTTCCACAATATTGTCTCAAAACCATTTTGCATCATAATGCTATATTAATTCCTGGTGAAAGAGAAGCAACTAGAACTATATGCTGTATTTTAGGAACATTTATATTAGTATATATATTGTCAAATGACATCCACCTCATCTGTAAAGTAGATAATGATTTTGGTATAAAACAATGGTGGTTTCTAGTTTCTGGAATTGCTGAACAAATAGCATACCATTCTTCTAATTTAAGCTCTATGTAATATAATAGAATTGTGTCATTTGAAATGTATTGAAAATGCATTTCTTTGATATTTTGTCTACACCAATCATACATTTTCTCAGGTGAATTGATAAAATTTGTAAGTGATTATAAACTGACCTTAGCTACTAATCTTTTGACAGTGCCCCCAACGCCATCGCACACACTCTTTCCATGTGACGTAGCAAAAAAATGCCATCCTGCAGATACTTTATAATCTAATTCATGTGACATAAGTTAGATAGGCTTTTATTATTTTTGTATTGTGAACCTGCCTCATCACTAAAATAATTGCAATCGTAAGGCAACTCTTATGTTTTATTACTTCATAAATGAAACAATGAACTGAGTTTGTATTGTATTGCAAATGATCTGAAATGATACAAACACTTTTACATTTTATCATATTTTCTTCCATATAGTAAATAACAAAAAGATGTAATGTTGACTGTTGCTTGAATGGAAACCTTGTATTGCATCCTGAATTAAAAAACTGTAATTTTCAGCTAAGTCTAGTAATACTAAAATACAATTACTTGGCAATGTTATTTTTAGATGTTATTTAAGCAGTAAGATACTGTTTTAGTGTGTTGGTATCTGGGCAGTTATTGCAACTGTGCAGTATGCAGTCTCGATTTGTTAAGTCACATACAACTAATGTCAAGAGGTCTTAATAGTCTGAAATATATAGTATTTATTATGCTAAAAGTTTTGCAAGTTGGTGGTTCTGTGGTGGAAACAGACAATCATAATATTCTGTTGGCTGTTATCAACCAGCGTGATATGTTTAGGGGGCCTGGATCTTGCTTAGTAAGACCTGGAGAAAAAATGCATGATCAAATGGCGAGAGGATAATTCCTTAAACACCTCTGGTCCTTACTCAAATTGAGTTAATTAAATGATGACAAGGTGCAGTTAACTAGCTCAAATGTTACCACTGGAAGCAGCTCACATGCCTTTAAAGATTTTCCAATGCAACTGGTGTAGAAAGTAGGTCCAGAAGTTGGTCCATCAAGAGATTCAAACAAGTGGCAAAGAGGCGATTTGTTGAAATGGAGTTGACAAACAACCCCTTGCAACTCTCCCAATTTTCAGTTCAAGATGACTCAGTACCCCATTATGAACTCCAGTGTTTATAACCGTTCCACAACAGCCTTTAACAAGAACATTGATTAAATCTTTGCTCACTTCTGCTGCAATATAGTTGTAAATACTTTTATCAATGGCTAGACTTGTTCCTGATGCTGGTATAACATGGCCAACAAAGCTAGATCCTGGTTCTTTCACCAAGGAATAGTGTTCCACTATAATTTCTCTTTAGTAGTATTTATCCTTCTCTTTTTCTGTTGACAATGTTTTGTTGCATCAGCCATCGAAGTAAAGACCTACTAAATAATCATTATCAGTGTTTGAACTCTCACTTTTAAGTTCTTCCATGGTTTGATATTTCTCTCTAGAAATTTTATTCTTATCAATCACTTAATATGTATCAAATTTACTGACTAGGCCTACATCATGTAAATTACTAGTAGCTATGATAGCCATGACTTGAAGCGATACTCCAAATCTTTGTCTTAAGGCGGTGTTAGTAAGTTTCATACGCATTTGCGAAAAGGGTGAAGCCGATGGTCTGGGATTATAGTTGTAGCCATCAGGTTTAGGTACCTCATCCTCATCCATTGTCTCATAATCTTTACAGAAACTTGATGATGATGAAGGCTTATCACCGTAATAATGAAGGTTTATCAAGCAAAAGATTTTGAGCTATGAATATTACACTGATGATGATGAAGGCTTATCAAGCAAAAGATTTTGAGCTATGAAGTCTATGATAAGGTAAAGATTTTGAGCTATGAAGGAATTCTGTTCTCCTTTCAGCACGTGCTTGGAGTTTTTTAGTTTTTTGCAAATCCAGCAATCCAATACACATTAAGCACTTTGTTCTCTGATCAGCAAGAAATGGTCGTTCTTTAAAAGGGGACCTTGGATTCTTTTGGGCTTTTGCTGTCTGTAAATGTAGAAAATTTACTAGCTGCTATATTAAACAGAAACCATGATTCTTCTTTAAACTTCTTAACTCCTGCTTTAGTTGCTATGCTTTTCTCTATTTTTTTATAAACAGACTTGATATCAATATAAGATTTGTGATATGCATCAATTTTAACAAAACATTTCTTTAAAACTCTCGGAATGGAAGCATCAGAATACAGCAGTTGCAACTTTTCAAAAACAAAATGTGGTATGGAAGAAAATGTGGGTTCCTTATTACCAGTTGTTTTAGATCCAAGACGCCACATTTCGTAAATTAAACATTTAATAACATCTTCTTTTGTTGGAAGCATCCTAGCAAAATCTGTCGGTGATCCAAAAATTGAGAAGTCTAATGCTCCTTGCTTTGAAGATTTTGACAATTCACCATTTTTAGTTCCTCGCTGCTGTTTTCTTTCTTACTCATGACCTGAAGCAATAACTTATAATAATTTATTAGTTATAACAATTATTGGTTAATTAACTAATAATGAAAATCTGGAAAATAATCTGCTAAAATAATAGTTATTATTGTATAAGCTTGTGTATAGAAAATTTCAAACCAAGAAAATTTCAAGACAAAATAGAAACTTTGACTTGTGCGAGGATCATAAAAAAGACGAATTAATTTTTCACTTTAATTTTATAATGTTAAAGTACTGTATACTAGCGTATAAGTCAAAAAGTTACTGTCTCAAAAGATTAACAATATTAGAACAAAAGAAATTGAAAAAATAATAGAAACAGCTGCACATATTCCAATTGAAATATGTATTGGTTTTGAAATCGCGTTAAAAAATTGACTTATTGACAATTGACAAATTGAAAAAATAATAGTATAATAAAACAACAATTAATTTTGCATTAATTTTGCCAGAAAATAGGTGCATTTTTTTTACATTACCACAAAGTGCTGTGACATTTAAAAAATATTTTTTTTAATATAAAGATATATGGATATTTTTAAAATTTCATGTCGCTTGCTGGAACAGAAGATATTTTATTAGAGTTACAAAATTTTGTACAGAAGTTACTTATGTGTAGAGACAAGTTTTCTGCTCTACCTTGAAAGCATAATGAAAATTTTTGTTTTTTCGAGCCCTCCTAATGAGTATGTTTAGTGGTGTGTTTTTGCATAAAGGCACTTTATACATTATACACAAAACCAGGCACACCATGTAAAGAGAAGTTTTCAATTACAATTTTTTTCTAAGTTCTGGGAAAAAAAATGCATGTTAAAAAGTAAATGGACAGGGGAGGGGAAGGGGACATGAAAGATTTAGGGCATTTAAAAACTGATTTTAATTCAGGCTTAATTAAAGACTTATTTCTAGTACTGATGATGAAATACTTTTAATTCATACATACTTTGTATTACAATATATAATACGAACTAAAGTACAACAATAACTTTATTTTTATTGTTTTTAATGCATTTTGGGCAATTTTCATTGTTCTGAATTTTTTCCCACTTCCCCATGAGTACCCACTATTTTTTTTTTTTCTGAAATCACTGTAAAAAAGTCTATTAAACTAGAAGAAAAAAAAATCTTATTAAAACCAGTGTTGATCTTAGGTTACCGGTAGTTTGAAGTCGAGGCACATTTTCCTAAGTTTTAGCTGCAGCCATTTTTAGAAGTCTGTAATTTTTTACTGAATTGTATCTTATCAGAAAGTTTCTAAAAATATGGAAACCTACCAAATATAGAAACTAAAAAATATGCCTTTTTCACTTCTTAAACTGCAGATTTTTCAACTTTTTATATTTGAAAACAATTTTTTAGGTTTTTCAGGTAGCCATTATAGAAAAAATGTGAAATTCAAGAATTCAACGTCAAAGTTTTGTTAAAGTAAGTCTAGAGTTGAATACAATTAAAAAAAACTAGGTTTTCTGAAATTTTGCTTTTAAAATATAGAGCTTTAAAGTATGAACAAAACATGTTTTTGCTACTAAAGTTTTTATTTTTGGAAAAATCAGAAATTTCAAATGACCATATCTAATGAACCAAAAAAGATTTTATGTTGAAACTTTCAGGAATTGTTTTTCTCAATAATAATAAGAAACCCAGTATTTTTCATCAAAATCTGAGAGGGGTCCATGTTGGACCCTGGTCCAGTTGACATGAAATGACTCATATAATATATATATATATATATATATATATATATATATATATATATATATATATATATATATATATATATATATATATATATATATATATATATATATATATATATATATATATATATAGCGATTTCATTACTTAATATATTCTACCTAATTAAAATATTTCTTTGCATATAATTAATTGTTTAAATTAATATAACAATAGCTTTTTTTTTTTTTAAAAAAAACTTTAGGGTGTGCAGAAAGGATTTAATTTCTTTAATTTTTAATAAAAAAAATTTTAATGATTTTTAACGTGGTTTGAAAATAACAATGCAGTACTTGAAAAGACTCAATTTCACTTTAAACAATATAAATATGTAAGCTAAGTTGAGTTTCTTCAAAATGCATTAGCCGTTTTATTTACGCAGCGAAATCTCTCAATAAGGCCTGTGGAGATGATTTTCACAAGTTTTTGAAAATATTTTGCAACGTCCTAAAAAGTTATGGCCATTTTAACATTTTGGTCAAAACCCTAAAACACAGAAAATATTTATTTCCCTTTATTTTTAAAGTAAAATAGTTTTCTTGGCTTCTAGTTAAAAATCTTTTTATGGTTTTGTGAAAAAAAAAGTTACTTTTAGTGTTTTTTAATATTCATAAATTTGCATTTGTCATTTCTGTTAAATACCAGACTTGCAGTAGCGCATAAATATATGTTGTCAAAATCCCTAACAAGACTTTATCATACAGTAAATAATTGTGGTAAAGTATGTCTGATTTGCTTGAAAGAAACAGATATGGTGCCAGCTAGAAGAGACTTGATACTTCCAAGAATTCAGAAATACTTCATTGAGAACTATTATACCAATGAAGAGCATTTACCTCCTGCTATAAGTGCTAGATGTAGACTAATTCTTTTTAAGATTAAAAACAGGGGGAAAAGAAAACAATGATCTACCTGACCCTTTTAATTTTTTCAAAGTTATTTTTACGACTCTGACAAGATCAAATCCTTTTTGCTGTTGCCTTATTTGGGAAGTTGATGTTTTAATTTAATTGAAATGAGCCAAGGATCAGCTGAGGCTGTTCCTTTCTAAGTAGGAAGACCTCCAGTAGCAGCTGAAGATTTTTTACCACCTCTTAGGCCAGTTAAAATGCCAACACTGTTGGCAGCCAGTTGTTTGCGGAATAGCACATCCATACCCTTGTATTGTATAAGATGCAAGGGAAAATTTTTAGACAGTTATTGGCCAAGTTCCCTGTGTAGCACAACTTATTGCTTCTGACTTGATCAAAATAAAATTAGCAGTACCTGGAGATGGAGACTTAGTTGCTATTTTAGCAACAAAAAGGAGGGATTTAACAGTCACAAAAAGTGTTAATTCGCAAAATTCAAGAGCTCATTTTTGTTTAAACCCTGTGTCTGCTAAGGAAATTAGAAGATTATAATCTACCTTAGGTCTCCCTTTGAAACAAACTAATAAAGCAGCTACTTTTTTCAGAACTTAGAATGACCCCAAATCAATTAAATCAGGTTTGGTTGGAAAATCAAGTCAACAAGACAAAGCACTTGATTTATTTTACAATTCTACAATAATGGAATTT